TGTCCCAGAGGTTTCGTTGGGCTGTAGTCTCCTTTTCACTTAGTTCCAGGAATACGTTTATTTTTTTTCTTAATTTCTCCTTTGACCCATTCATCATTCAGGAGTGTGTTGTTTAATCTCTATGTGTTCATGTAGTTACTAGGGTTTCTTCCAGTGTTGATTTTAAGCTTTATTGCATTGTGGTCTGATAGAATGAATGGAATTATTTCAATCATTTTGTATTTGTTGAGGCTTGTTTTGTGCCCCAGTATATGGTCGATTTTGTAGAAGGTCTATGGGGCGCTAACTAGAAAGTATATTCTTTCATGCTTGGGTGGGTGGAATATTTGGTAGATGTCTGTTAGGACCATTTGATGTATGGTATTGTTTAATTCAGATGTCTGTTAATTCTCTGTCCTGTTGACCTATCTAATAGAGACAATGGGGATATTGAAGTCCCCAGCTATTAATGAGTTGGGATTCATCTGGGTCTTAAAAGTCCTGTAGTACTGTTTTTATGTAGTTGAGTGCACCAGAGTTTGGTAAATATATATTCATGATTGTAATATCTTCTTGGTCAATTGTTCCTTTGATAAGAATGCAATGGACCTCCCTATCTCTTCTCAGTTTTAGTTTGAAGTTTATTTTGTCAGATATTAAAATTGCAACACCTGCTTTTTTCTTAGTACCGTTTTCTTGATATATTTTTTCCATCCTTTCATCTTAAGATAGTGCCTGTCCTTGAAAGTGAAATGAGTTTCTTGCAGACAACAAAAAGATGCGTTTTGCTTCTTAATCTATTCAACTAGTCTGTGTCTTTTGACTGGGGAGTTCAGTCCATTGATATTTAAAGTTATTAATGAAAGATATGTACTGATTCCTGTCATTTTTATTTTTGTTCACATTCTTGGTGTAGTTGTGCATTTTCACAGTTATACCTTCATTTAGTTTCTTTCTGCAACTCCTGGGGTATAGTCATTCCTTTCTTCAGCTCTTTGTATTGTTTCAAGAACTCTCTGAAGGGCTGGTTTTCTGGACATGGATTCTTTCAGCCTATTTATGTCATGGAAGATTTTTCTTTCCCCTTTGACTATAATAGACATTCTGGCTGGGTAAAGTACTCTGGATTGGCATCTGTGGTCATTTAGATCTGGGAATACGTTGGTCCAGGCTCTTCTGGTTTTCATAGCTTACACTGAAAACTATGCTGTAATTCTGTAATTCTGATGTGTTTTCCTTTATATGTGACTTGTTTTTATTTATTATTTATTTGCAGCTTTCAGTATTCTCTCTTTGTTCTGTATGTTTAGTGATTTTACTATGATGTGCCATGGATAGTTTCTTTTCTGGTCTATTTGGTGTTTTATATGCTTCTTGTATTTGTATGGGCATGTCTTTAATTTTGGGAAATTTTCTTCTACAATCCTTTTGAAGATATGGTCTATATCGTTATCCTGAGATTCTTCTCCTTCCTGTATGCCTATGATCCATAAATTTGGTCTTTTTATGGTGTCAAACAATTCCTGAATATTCCATTCTTGTGTTTTCTTAAATTTTTCATAATCTTTGCTTGATCCTCCAGTCTTGATATTGTTTTCTATTTATTTCATTCATCCTATTGGTGAGACTTTCTTCTGTCATTTCTAATTGGCTTATTGTTTCACTTCCTTCTTCATTTCAGCCTGATTATTCTTCAATATTTCTAACTCTTTTCTCAATTCATTCAGAAGTTTATCCCTACCTTCTTTCAGTTCTTTGTGTGTTGTTCTGTGTGTTCTTTAAATTCACTGAATTCTTTTATCATGTTTATAATTGTTCTTTTGAGTTCTATGTCCTGTGTTATCTCTAAGGGGTTCTCATTGTACTCCTTTAGAGGACTGATGGTACTTGGTGGGGATATATTATTTTGAATTTTTATGTTCTTATTTTTTCTCTGACTTTGAGATGTCAATTTCTTTTGTAGATTCTGGTTCTTGTGTGAGACTGAAGCCTTCCTTTGTTGAATTTAGGTGTGCTTCTTTTTGTAAACTTTAGGTGCCTTTGTGTTTTACTTGTTGGGCATGGAAAGCTGATCTTTCTAGGCTTAAGATTCTCTGCTCGCTGTAGCCCCAGCTGTCCTGGAACTCACTATGTACACCAGGCTGGCCTTGAACTCACAGAGATCCACCTGCCTCTGCCTTTGAAGTGCTGGGATTAAAGGCATGTGCCACCACGCCTGACAAGTTCTCTCTTTGGATTTTACATTAGAGGGCAAATTTAATTTCGTCTTCCTGCTCAGGACACAGAGGCCCAAGTTGGATGAGATTCAAATGCTCTCAGTCTTTCTCCTAAGGAATGGATCTCTCCAGAAAAGCTGCTGGCCCCAGGAAACACTGCAACTCTTTTATAAGGCACTAATCCCACCCAGGAGGACCCATCCTAAAAGCTCTGCCTCTTAAGACTTTTGTACCAAGGTTAAATTTCAACATGAATTTTGGAAGGAATACAAATGCACAAACCACAGTAGGCCTGTAGACAATGAAAATTAGGATAGGAAAGGTTAATTCTGTGAACCATAGTGTACCCAGATATTTTTGTGTTCTGTGAAGGTATGATGTAAGAAATAGATATTTGGTCCTGTTTCCTGGTTCCTGACATTGATCTCCTAAAACCCTTGGAATTTCCTGAAATATTTCTTACTATGCATACTCATTCTTTTTTAAGTATATCTGATGAGGAGTTTATGTTAAAGAGATGATTCAGAAAGTGGGGGCTGGTTGCTAGAACTAATCATGTAGTTAGAAAGCTGAAACTTTTGGCTCTGTCTTTTGAATTCATGAGCTTGTGGGGGAATGAACAGACCAATATTAAATTAATCTCTAATGGTCAATGACTTAATTATGCCTCAGTAATGCCACCATAAAGACTTTGAATGATGAGGTATGATGCTCTAACACTGTGGACAGAAACTCCATTCCCTTTAGTTTAAAATAGGGATCAACACACTTTTCTGTAAAGGGTCAGATAGTCTGTATTTTAGGTTTGAGGGTCCTATAATCTCTTGCCACTGTTTCATTGTTACGAGGGACTTGAAAACAGCCATAGCTAATGTGTAAATTGGTCATAACTGCTCCAACAGAAGCTTTTTCTTTTTTTGTGTTTTTGAGACAGGGTGTCCCAGTAGCTCTAATTGGCCTAGAACTTGCTATGTAGAACAGGTTCGCCTCAATTTCACAGAGATCTTTCTGCCTCTGCCTCCCAAGTGCTGGGATTAAAGGTGTGTACTACTATGCCTGGCAAAGCTTTTTTTTTTGTTTTTAATTTTATGTATAAGAGTCTTTTGCCTTGTAAGTATCTAAGTGCATCACGTGTGTACAAGGCCTGCAGAGGCCAGAAAAGGGTGTCAGATTCTCTGGAATTGAAGTTACAGATAGTTGTTAGCTGTCATGCAGTTGCTGGGAACTGAACCAGGGTCCTCTGCAAGAGTAGCCAGTGCTCTTAACTACTGAGCCATCTCTCCAGCCCCTAGAAGCTTATTATTTAAAACAAATGGCCAATGAGATCTGGTCTGTGGAATACTGGACTCTAGTTTGAGGTAACTTTTAAACTATGGCTCCTCTGTTTGCCACTCAGTTTCCTAAACTTGAACATAGCAGAGACTCAAGCCATTTACCAGTCCAATTTTATTTCCATTTAATAGCTACTACATTGTTCCTGGCCTTTGGAAAAAAATCCTCATTAGTTTTGTGTTCCTGAAACACAAGCCCAATGAATACATTTGAGGTCAAGCAAACCAAATATATTTTTTTAATTCTCAAAGAACTCGTTAACCAATTTCAAATGAAATCTAACAAGCTAGGCAACTACAGGTTCAGAAATGATTACAATAAATGATAGCTATATAAAAACTGATATCACTCTTTTAAAATCAATAAAACAAAATACTTTGAAACACTTAATTATACATTTGTAGCTTTAAAAAACCAGCCAATATCTGTCCTGTCTTCTGCCAAAGTAGAAACTACCTAAGGTTCTGATGTTCTTTTCCTTGATCATGAATAGGACTTCCTTTTTAATAACTTACTGGCTTTTAGTATAAACTCTAACGACTGACTCCAAAAGGAAAGTATACTACCATTAGTAAAGAACTGTTCATGTTTTAGTTTCTACAAATTTAGTCTTTTGGACTCACTTCAAATTTTAATAGAATATCAATCATATTCAAAATTTCCTAGCTTATCACATGCTCTTCCCCCAAAGCTTAGAGAACATGAGGAAGAGAGAGTGGGAAGATTATAAGAGCAGAGGATGGGGAGGACCAAAGCAAAAGTGTCTCCTTGATGACTGGACCAAGGCACTCATGAACTCACAGCAGCTGTGTTTGCCTATACAAATTCAAGCTGTCAACATTCCAGCTATAGAGGGGGCAAGGTCTCATGAGCCCTACTGCTAGCTGAAGAGCTGTTGACAGATGATGGCTGCAAAGGGAGGGAGAGTCAGTTTTCTTTAGGGGTGTGGCCCCCAGTAGGTGAACAATGCTCCAGTGGATGGCCCTACACCCATGAATATATGGGCAGCAGAATATGGATTCAGTAGGTTGTTTGAAAAAAAAAAAAAAAAGAGGGCAGAAAGTTAGGAGGAAGAGTAGGGGATGGATGTGGGAAAATTGGGTGTGTGTGAATATGATCAAAATACATCATATGCATGTACAAAATTTCAAAGAATAAAAAATATTTAAAAAATTTCCCAAACTCAAACCTAAAGACTTAAACATGTACTTGATTTGGTTTAAATAAAAAGGCAATCTCATTTCCTAATAGGCAGGGAAGGTAACAAATGGTTTTACAGAACCTCATTCATTTTTCATGATCAATCACTCTTTGTTCTGAGCAAGTCTTTTAAGATGCTATCTGAGAATACTTTTTAGTTTAGGATTATAGTTTTGTCTAGCTTAT